TCTCTCATGACTTTAAGACAGAAGGTAGTGTTAACTTGCATTATTCTCTCTAGTATGGTTGGAAACTTCAGTTCTTCCCTCATGTTGATGATTCTTGTGCATCTTGGGGCACCAAGAATTATCCTCATGGCCTCGTTCTGTATTACTTCAAGTTTGTCCAACACAGAGGAGGGGAAATTAATTAAGTGCAGAGCATTATAATCAACGAGAGATCTAACAAACATCATATAGAATAGTCTAGCATATTTAATATTGATACCAATATTCTTACCAGTAAGTGTTCTCAATGGTTTTAGTCTTTCTTTTAACCTACGGTGTAGATCATTTACAATGTCACTGTTAATACCAACTCCAAGGTATTTGTGCTGCCCACACGTTTCAATGTTCTGGCTGTTGACCTTGAAAGCTATAGGGACATGAGTTTTCTCTTTGGGATGGAGAACTCTGGATTTAGTTATAGAGATAACAAGACCACATTCAATGCTTTTAGCAGCGAATGAATCAAGTAGAGCTTGCAGTCTAGTTTGGGAATTTGCAACAATGCATATATCATCGGCATAACAAATGACGGCTTCGTCAGGTAGTGTAGGAATATCAATTGTTAATTTATGCATCAGAACATTGAACAGTGTGGGACTTAGCACTCCACCCTGGGGTGTACCCAACTCAAAGGGTGCACAGAGTTTACTTTTGACCCCCTTGAAAAGGACTGAGGCGGTTCTGTTACTCAGGTACCCCCTGAGCCATGTCAACAGTCTTCCCTTAACTCCAATAGAGGCTAGCTGTTCTAGGATTATTTCTTTGTTTGCTGTATCAAAAGCGGTTTGGAGATCAATAAATGCCGCCTGAGAGTTTGGTCCCCCTCTGATAAAATACTCAGCAAAGCAAGTTTGTGTGCTTCTTCCAGGAAGGAAACCATACAGGTTAGGGGCAAGGTGGGGCTTGATTTGAAACATTAGTCTGTCGAGAATAATTCTCTCAAGAACTTTGCACATGCACGACGTTAGAGAAATGGGTCTAAATTTTTGTGAATTAGGCTTGGGTATGGGTATTATGAGTCCCTGTGTCCAGCGGTCAGGTAAAACACCCTGCCTTAGACTTTGATTAAACAATTCTAGCAAAGGGCTATTTGGCAGCTCAGCAAGTACTCTCATGGTGTTGTATGTGATGCCATCCTCTCCAGGAGAGGTAGCCTTACCTTTCTTGAGTGCATTTTTAATTTCAAAGGGGGTTATGCCATAGTTATCATCAGGCCCTATTTCACTACAGGCAATTTCAATATTGAAGTTACGATTTATTTTAGTACTAGCCAGATAGTTTTGCACATCTAGGGGCAGGCTGCTTATACTAGCAGTGCTTGCATATTGCTGAAGCAGCATGTCGGCATAGTCTACAGGTGAATGGTGATCAAGTTGACGACTGCTAGGACGAGAAATCTTTTTAATTTTATTCCACATTTGGGATGAGGATGTTGCATGATTGATGCCTTGCAGAAACTGTTCCCAGTGCTGGTTATACACCTGTTCCTTTAGCTCTCTAAACTCTCGGCTGGCTTTAAGAAATATGTTGAGGGTGTCAGCTGTTTTATGTGTTTTATACTGCTCAGCTAGGAATAGAACTCTGTCATGCAGGGGCTTAAGGCGTGAGTCAGTGAACCACCTCTGTCCCTTCCTCACTGGTTTGGGTCTTGTGGATTTTACAACATTGTCATAAAAAGCGGTTACTTCAGTGACCAGGTCCTCATATAATGCGTTGACGGTAGTAAAGCAGTAAGTGTTATACCATTCAGAAATGCGGAATTTGAAGAGCATGTGTAAATTTTCAGGGATATTAATTATTTTTTTTCCAAAGCTTAGGGGTTTGACATTATTGATAGTGTATGAACTGAATATGGCAAAATGATCACTAACTAATTCATGAACAATTGATCCTCCGACAGCATTATCAATGAGGCCGTGACCAATGACATAATCAAGCCTGCCACCCCTGAGGTGTGTGACGTTAGAGGAGTCAAAGTTGAATACGGACATGTTATTATCTCTTAAGTATTTTACAAAGACTCTGCCATTCCCGTTTGTTTTGGTGTCACCCAGGCTAGTGTGTCTAGCATTAAGATCACCCATTACAATGGTTTGAGAGCTGCTGGTAATTTTTGGGAGAGAAGCTTCCACCATTTGATCACACCTTACATATACATTAACTAAGTTAAGAAACCCGGTCGCTGTAGCAATCTGAAACTGCTGATAATATGAGTCGTCACTTTTGTGGTTTTTAACATGTTTACACACTAGGTTACTTTTAACATACGTCAAGATACCGACATCATGGGAACCAACATTTGAGAAAGCTACATAACCTGGGAGTTTGGGTGGCGTTTTATTTTTTGTGTTTGCAGTGTATGGTTCCTGCAGGCACAGTACATCAATGTTGTTGGCACCAGCGTACATCATTAGATCAAACAGCCTCCTTCGCACGCTTCTCACATTCCACGTGAGAAATTTAAGAGTGAGTTGGTCGTGGGTAATGGTGTTCATAAACCTGACGAAGAGAAGTGTTTATAAGATTCACAAGTTGTAGACTATTGCTTACAAATGCCAATTGTCCACCGTCATTAATGGCAAAGAGTTCTTTCACCTGTTTCAAGCTCAGCTGGCTGCCTGTATTTTTCCTATCATTTACAATCATTTCATGTTCGTTAGTAATCGTAGACACACAAGCGGTATTGTTTTGAATGAGTTCTTGAGTGAATTTGTTAAATACATCTAAGATACACGGGTTTTCATATGTTTCACTCGACACAACGGTACTTACAGCACTGGAGGAGGCGTCAAGACTTGCTCGAGACGTGTCAACACTTACAGCACTGGAGAGGGGGTCAATACTTGCTGGAGACGGGTCAACACTTATAGCACTGGAAGGCATTTCACTAGAGACTCGGACGTTCGCTTCACTCCTCGGGCTGGCGAGATGATCGCCAGTGCTTACGGCGATCATCTGTGCTCATGTCTGTGCTTACGAGGGAGGGTTGGGCTTCGAGTCTACGGTCTCGCCTACTCAAGTTAAAATTGAATTGCGTAATAATTCCCAACCCTTGGATTATGTCGTGTGTGTGAGGGTACTCGCCAGTCTGTACCCACCTATGTGTGTGCCTGCATGGGCGAGATCCACCTCTTGGAGCCCGTCTTTCCAGCTGCATGCTGTCTAGTGCAGAGACTCCAAGCCTAACTTTACCACATCTTCTTTAGAAAGCATATATTCATAAATCTGTGGAAAGTTTCACTCGCAACACAGCAAGAGTGTACAGCGCCACTCACGGGAGGAGGGGGGGGAGGGAAAGTACATTAGGAGATCTTAAGCGAGACAATTAATTTAGTTTACACGGGAGACATCACCCGTCACGCAGGGTGCAGTCGCACCTCCACAGATCTTCAGTATCATCTATTGATACTGGTAATGGCTCAAAAGGGCCACCACTTACGGGCTACTCATGCCCGTGCCACCTTTTGGGTGGCTTAATGTTTATCAATCAATCATTCGAGACAATTAAGCAAGTCCCAGCTGTGTCTGGGCACAAGTGACTGGATGAACAACCCAGCGGGTTTTCTTCCTATTGGGGAGTGTTGTACATGTTGCTATGGCAGTGTGTCCACTCAGGATTTGACTGAATGATGAATATTAAGCCATCCAGGAGGTGGCACGGGCATGAATAAGTGGTAGGTGACTCACAGGATGAGTGGCGCTGACCTATAAACTCACCCCTCGGGCCAAAATAAAAAAAATTAACGCCATAAAGAAGAGCTGGCCTCCCAAGGTACTGATGAGTCATGAGTGTGAGAGGCTCTCACCTGCCTTCCCTCAGACACGCCCCAGTCGTCTACCAGCCGTGTCATCACTTCCCGGGGGAGTAGATTGTTGTCATCCCCCCCCCCACTCTCTCCTTCCACCCCCCCCCCCCCCGCCACTCTCTCCTTCCACCCCCCCCCCCTCGCCTGAAGGACAGGGGGGTTGCGTGTAGATGGTCACGGCTTAGAATGGGTCATCAGTCCTGCTGTGGCGACTTCTATTGTCTTATGGGTATTTGAATTCACCTGAGAGCCACTGTCTCTAGTGGCTTCGACGGGATAGGAAGCCAGCGACTTGTCAAACGTCCCTCCATTGTGTTCCAACTGCCTCTTATTGCTTCACCCACGTAGTGCTAATGTAAGTAATTTACAGTTGAACCAAAACACGTGACCTAACTTATCCCAGACCTAACTAGGAATAAAATTATAATATGATGTTGACCAAACCACACACTAGAAAGTGAAGGGACGACGACGTTTGGTCAACATACTAAACATACCGGTTTGGTCAACATACTTCAGCCACGTTATTGTGACTCATTGTCTCCTTATAATATGATAGTATGAAGATGCCTTGGAGGAGCATCACCTGAGAAGGAGTCCAGTGTAACGTTGATAACTTGAGCATCTTGTGAGCACCATAGTCTTTCCTCAGGAGCAGTGGTCATATTATATTTGAATTTTGAATTCTCACAAACAACAAGTACGCAGCGTAAATATATATTTACCGTTGTGCATCCATCAACTCCCGCGGACAACAAATGTCTCCATTCAATTTTAGCTTCTTCACTTTTTCTCCATCGGAACACAAAACCAAAATTGTGTGTTCGTTTGAGTTCGACACTCAAACGAACACACAGTGACAGGACTGATTGACGTGACACCGAACAGATGTCTGGGTGGCCTAACAGCTGCTGACACCTGTTATGAAATGGTCGCTGCCTTTGACAACAGCCCCCCGGATCATACATTAAATACATGAATATTCCCTGTTTTTAATTTAAGCCTCCCTGAAACATTCTGTCATTTTACGGGGGGGGGGGGGGAAGGGGGGAGGTGGGGGGGGGGGCGGATTTGTGTGTGTCGGTCGGCGCTCCGTGTTACCATTCTCTGCACTGGACTGCAATATATGTTGGTTAGACTTCCCGTTCTTGCTCTCTAAGGTATATACTCTATTAACGTCAAGTCAAATTCTCCTCGCAATAGTAACGAGCTGCTTTTTTCATCGGTGTCATGTGTGGCAACACTGGTCTCAACACTGGTGTCATGTGTGGCAACACTGGTGTCATGTGTGGCAACATTTGCCTCATCACTGTTGTCATGTGTGGCAACATCTGTCTCATCACTGGTGTCATGTGTGGCAACATTTGTCTCATCACTGGTGTCATGTGTGGCAACATTTGCCTCATCACTGGTGTCATGTGTGGCAACACTGGCCTCATCACTGGTGTCATGTGTGGCAACACTGGCCTCATCACTGGTGTCATGTGTGGCAACATTTGCCTCATCACTGGTGTCATGTGTGGCAACACTGGCCTCATCACTGGTGTCATGTGTGGCAACACTGGCCTCATCACTGGTGTCATGTGTGGCAACATTTGCCTCATCACTGGTGTCATGTGTGGCAACACTGGCCTCATCACTGGTGTCATGTGTGGCAACACTGGCCTCAACACTGGTGTCATGTGTGGCAACATTTGCCTCATCACTGGTGTCATGTGTGGCAACATTTGCCTCATCACTGTTGTCATGTGTGGCAACATTTGCCTCATCACTGGTGTCATGTGTGGCAACATTTGCCTCATCACTGGTGTCATGTGTGGCAACATTTGCCTCATCACTGGTGTCATGTGTGGCAACATTTGCCTCATCACTGGAGAAAGAATAAAATCGGGATTCTATTTCCTGGTGATATAATTTTATCCAGGTCGTTGGGGATGCCATCTGGGTAACTAGAGTCCGTCGGCAGATCCCGGCTCGCCTTCATAAGATGTGATCCAATCAGCAGGGACCTCGATTCCCTGATAGCAGAACCATTTTTCCATTATCATAAAGAGACCGCGTGATGTATGCTGGAGTCGTTTACATCCCTCTGCGAGGGTATCTTCTCTTCCCACTCCAGCGATTTGTTAATTCAGTGAGATTATATTGTGTTTTGATAATCAGAAGAATCTTTCACAGCATCTTTTCGGGACAAATTCGTAGCACAAGTGGATATTAAATAGTTTTGATAGCGGTCGTTAGACTGGAATTTGTTACAGTAATTATCGTAATCAAGAGTGTTTTTCATAAAACTTAATCGTTAACTTCTCTTATCTTTTTCTTTTAAGAATGACGGGTTGTGGCATTTCTGCATCCAGCACAGGCGCATGGGCTCTCCTCTTGTGCAGGGTGGCCATGGGCGGCGGCGACCTTGTTTTAATAATACGTCATTCAATACTGCAGTTCCCACAGGCACTACCTTCATACTCCTCCGTCTTCGGACAAGTCCCACGTATTTATGGTGCTGCCTTAAAGTTTGTGGTTCTCCGTGGAGGAGTGGAGGCGTGTACTGCTGCACCAGTGTGGCCACCAGCCCCCGACCTCCTGACACGCATTCTTTATCGTGCATTCATTTGTGTCTTAACCTCTTTCCTTTTATCATTCTTTACATTTTATCCTTTAACAAGACTTCCTGCAATAAAAGTAATTTATATATCCTTCTTACCACCATTACCCGCACCTTCCAGCTCCAGCCGACAGCTTACGGCCCCCACAACTCCTCCTTTATTCACCATCAAGTGTGAGGACGCAAGCACGACAACTGGATGGGCTCGGGGCCACGTCCCTGGGGCGGCCAGGGGGGCTGGGTTTAGCCCCATCGTGTAGGCTCAATATTTTCTTATATGTAACAAGTTCACACAAATTAAATTGCTTGGCTTTAGAGATTGATGTGGTCTAGTTTTTGAACCCATTTTGCTCTTAAAGACTGTTGATAACACATTAACTATGTAACCCGCTTATGGAGACTGTAACTAGCTTAGCTAAATTCATTTTTGGGTTAAGTTCTTGAGCCCATTATGTTGCAGCCAAGTAAAAAACAAATGGAGTGTAGGAGAGCCCGAGGGACGGCACCCCTGCCTCGCCGCCTCCGTTCCTCTCCTCTTCCCCGGCAGCTCATCCACACTGGAAGCTCTCCACATTACTCTTCACACTAGTGCTCTATCTTGTGATCACGCTAGTTTCCTTACCATATTGGCATTGTTCACTTGTGCATGCTGGCATCCAACCCGTCTCATTAATACACTCGCGTTAAAAGCAATTTACAGAATTCCAGCTTTTTCACGTTTCTTTCCTTCGGCCAATTGAATTAGGAGAATGAATCTGGTATTTGGCAAATGTGCTGCAACATAAAGCCATCAATTCACAAATGGTTATTCTTTAGAGGTTGGAGCCGGTCCCGCGTTCTTGCCGAGGACAATGTCTTGGTTTCCAGTGAGGTCCTTTGTTAGATATCCAACCCGTCGGCTCCCTTTGATGCGGTATTCTTCCCTAGAAGTGCATGTCGTTTGCAACAATCTTCTCTCTCTCTCTCTCTCTCTGTCTCTCTGTCTCTCTCTCTCTCTCTCTCTGTCTCTGTCTCTGTCTCTGTCTCTCTCTCTCTCTCTCTCTCTCTCTCTCTCTCTCTCTCTCTCTCTCTCTCTCTCTCTCTCTCTCTCTCTCTCTCTCTCTCTCTCTCTCTCTCTCACTCTCTCTCTCTCAGAATGAGAAATGAGAGTAAATAAGTGATTCTTTACTGTTATTTGTCGGTAATTATGGCTTCATTTGTCTTGTGTGTGACACATACTAAATAAGAAAAACAGAGACCGAACCAGGTAACCCTCGGTGTTTGATGGACAGTTCACCAGATTTATCTTAGCCTCACATCCCTCTGAATATAAATTACATTTATTTTTAACTTTAATCATTTTAATTTTATTTTTTACACAGGTGGGGCACCGGAACAGGTGTGACTCCTGTTAAGAGCGTGAGAGCTTTCCCTTCCCATAGCTCACGGTAAGCCTTACCCACTAGTTTTCCCTGGAGCACGACCCACCGATCGTTTAACAACCGGGTACCCAATTAGTGCTGGGTGAACAGAGGCAATCAGTTAAGGATTGGCGCCTAGTCAATCCTCTCCGGCTAGGATTCGAACCCAGACAAATCGCTGGTGAGGCGATGTGTCTTAACGCGGTGTACAGCACTGTGGTGGGCGATGAGCCGTGGTGAATGTACAGCCAGGCCAGCCATGGCGTGTGTAAGTGAGCGAGGCTTGCCACAGCTCTTGGTGATTGCCTTTGAATTGCCACCAAGTGCCATCATAACGGAATTTATATGACCCGAGTTGTAAATTTGTGTATTGGATGGTGGCAGAAACTGGAGTCGATGTTGGCAGGGATTGACATGGATGGTGTACGGGGTCTAACGTGGCTGGTGGCAGGGAATGACTTGCATGGTGGCAGGGAATACCTTGGATGGTGGCAGGGAATACCTTGGATGGTGGCAGGGAATACCTTGGATGGTGGCAGGAAATAACTTGGATGGTGGCAAGGAATTTACGTGGATAGTGGCAGGCACATGCATGGTTGTGGCTGAAGCAGGTGACGGGGAAGCCCAAGAATCGCACAATATCATTATCCTCATCTCAGATTTTAAACTCTAACAGTAACTCACCGGATGAGTGTAGCTGTTACGAAGAGTGTAGTTCTCACAAGGAGTGTAGCTCTTATGAAGTGCATCTCTTGATCTCTTTATGTAGTGTAACAACAACACAAAAATGCGTCTCATGCTAGAGTGCAGCTTGACATGAAAGCTTCAGCCCCTCGTTCACCAGCATTTTATCTTTATTGCCGGAATTTTCTTCCTCTGCGGGAATCCTTCCAGGGCGCCATGCCTGTGCTGAGGAATGGTGACTCCCGCGGGGATAATACGGACCGATTCCTGATAAGCTCAGCCAACCTCGCCTCTGCCTCCCTGTGATTCATTTACTCAAAATGTATTTCAGATTGAATTCACAGTGACCAGGATCCTCTAGTTTGCATTTAGATTACCTGCCTTGCATGCTTGCCTTGTTTATTGGACGCCTCTTGCTTGTACGCAGGCGGGGAAGTGGTCTTTGTGTGATGTTTCCCATGTTGCAGGTACTGGCAACACTGATAAGACCCGGGTGGCTGGTGCTAGGCTACATTGATAAGATCCGGGAGGCTGGTTCTCGTAACATTGACAAGACCCAGGTGGCTAGTTCTGGCTATATTGATAAGTCCCAGGTGGCTTGTGTTGGTTACACTGGTAAGACCCAGGTGGCTTGTGTTGGTTATACTGGTAAGACCCAGGTGGCTTGTGTTGGTTACACTGGTAAGACCCAGGTGGCTTGTGTTGGTTACACTGGTAAGACCCAGGTGGCTTGTGTTGGTTATACTGGTAAGACCCAGGTGGCTTGTGTTGGTTATACTGGTAAGACCCAGGTGGCTTGTGTTGGTTATACTGGTAAGACCCAGGTGGCTTGTGTTGGTTATACTGGTAAGACCCAGGTGGCTTGTGTTGGTTATACTGGTAAGACCCAGGTGGCTTGTGTTGGTTATACTGGTAAGACCCAGGTGGCTTGTGTTGGTTACACTGGTAAGACCCAGGTGGCTTGTGTTGGTTATACTGGTAAGACCCAGGTGGCTTGTGTTGGTTACACTGGTTAGACCCTGGTGGCTTGTGTTGGTTACACTGATATTGGGTTGGATTCTATTATACTTTGATGTTTACTTTTATATTGGGGTGCATTCTGCAATGCAGTATTGTGGTGAATTCTCTTATAATGATGTGTATTCTCGTATACTGGAGGGTATTCTTCTAGACTATTTGGGTGTGTTCTGTACTCTGGTATTAGGCCATAGTTATCTATAATGAGATTTATTCTTTCACAGCCGGAAGCATTTGGGGGGAAGGGAGGCTCAGGAGCTGGGCATACCACACCCAGAGAGAAAGGAATAGGAGGTGAAGACGGAACCCAGGTGGAATTCACCAACACCTCCAAATAAAAGGTGGTCCTTGTTTGGTTCCTAAAAGAAGACGGGCCAACTCCAGAGCATCCAACCATAAACAAGGCCACGAGCGCTGAAGGTGGGCCAGAAGATAATACCTCACTCCACACTGAAGCAAGAGAACGGCTTCTGGCCAAGCAAGAACGCCCCGCCTCCCTCCGCCCAAGAAAACAACTCACCGGCTACTTCAAGACCCATAACCATCACCATAACCATGATGGACAGGATATGGCACTTTCAATCCACCTCGTTCCCCCAACCATATTCTTTATTTCTAGAATTTCAACTCTCCATCAACCCGTCCTCGACTCAAGTCCATTACATCCAGCGGTCGACCCCACAGACGCATTCATAAATTTTAATATGCTGTTCATTCAAAACGGGAATTTTCTCAAGTATAAATTAATATTATAATATATTAGCATATTGTGCATATATAGGCATAGGTTAGGTGTTTAGGTTCTGTTGGCGATTATTTGTATTTGTAGTACGTGGGTGAAGCATTTATAGCGTTGTGATTCGAACAAAATTCGTCAGTGAAACACTTGTTCCGGATATGTTCGAACGTCAGCAGTTGTGAGTCGTGTGTAAACCGCTTTTCATTCATAAACAGGGGGTTTGGCGGGTGCATGGAATCACTTTTGGATCTTTGTTTGGAGGACGGGCTGGTTTATGAGTGAAAAACTGTTTACACACGACTCACAACAGATGACGTTCGAACGCTTCCAGAACAAGTGCTTCACTGACGAATTTTGTTCGAACCACAACGATATAAGGATGCAGCCCGTCCTCCAAACAAAGATCCAAAAGTGATTCCATGCTTCTGCCAAACCCCCTGTTTATGAATGAAAAACGGTTTACACACGACTCACAACTGCTGACGTTCGAACATAT